GCGCTCCCGGTGAGTGTCCACCTGCCCCGCGGACGGCGGCTCCACGCGCCCAGAGCGCCCCGCGGAGCGGGGCTGGAGCCGGCGCCGAAGCGCCCCGGTGCTCCCTTCCCCGGGAGCTTCTAGACCTTCCACCCCACGGGGCGATCCGTGGCTTCTCCTCTCTGGCCCCGGGTCACCGCACCGCGCAGCTTGTCAGTTGTCTGCTAGCCTCGGCATCTCATCGAACCCCCCCCCCACAGGGTCATTAGGTTGGTAGATACCCCCCCACAGGGTCATTAGGTTGGTAGATACCCCCCCACAGGGTCATTAGGTTGGTAGATACCCCCCCACAGGGTCATTAGGTTGGTGGACCCCCCACACAGGGTCATTAGGTTGGTAGACACTCCCTCCTCCCATCCCCCGTGAACCAGCCCTATCGCCTCCCCTAGATGCCTAACATGCTCTGAGCGGCAGGGCTGGAGGGCGGCCGGTCAGTTATCTCCCAGCCAGCTGTCTGCCTCACAGACCCCGGTCAGCTGGTTTGTACAACGCCCTGAGAGCCACCATGAGCTGGGCAAAGCCCTGGCTGCTTGCGCCCGAAGCCAGCTGGTGCTCCAGCAGGAGCCAGGAGTCCGTGGAGTTCTGTCTCCATCTCTCCCTACAGCCACTCAGGATTCTGGTTTGGCCAAGTCACCTGTTTCTGTAGTTATAAAATGGACATGGCCGCACTACCACTTGGGGCGGCCTAGACTGGGTGAAACACTTCATGGACAGCCCTGGGCTGGACAGCAGGCTGGGCACAAAGCGGTGCCCAGAAGTAGCAGACCAGGGAACAGCGCCCAAGTCAGTACTTGCATGGGCCAAACTCCTGGTCCCGCCCATGGAGGGGAGGGGAAGGAAGGGGAGGTGCCTGCCTGGTCACAACTGGCCAGAACCGGCTGCCAGGCAGGCCCACCACTTGCCCAGGTCAGGCCTTGAGAAAGTTTGACATGCAGGAAAACATTGTTTTCAGAATACAAAAGACAGGGAAATCAGGGTACTTAAAGGTGTGATCAAATGTCTATGGATCCTGATATAACACCAATGTTACTTTTAATTTTTAAATAAAACAACTCATCCTACTTGTGGACGATTGTCAGAGTGGATTTTTGTTCTCAACTTATAAAGGTTTCCCCACTTTGCTGATGAGCCCTGCACAGTTTAGCAATTATAAATTAGAATTTCTTGTAGCCAAAAATATTCTCAAAAGCAAAAAAGATAAAATATCCTTTTAAAAGCTTTTTGAGAAGGAAAAGAAGCCCTAAGGAGGGATATGTGGAGGTGGATGAGTGTCCTCGGTGGTGAGCAGGTGGCCCTTAAAGTGGAGGTGCCCAGTCTCTGACGGCTTACAGGCTGACCCCTCTGAGCACAGAGCATGCCCAGCCCAGCCCTGCTGCCGTATGGCCCCAAGAGGCTGTGGCGCATCCTTCCTGAAGAAGAGAGCCTGGGGTGGGGCAGGTCTTCAACAAGGGAAAGAGGTGTTGATGTGCGCTGGGTGTGTTTGGGGCTGTGTTGTGCTGTGTGCTGGGGTGGTGACAGCATTGCTAACAAGGAAGGCTGCCTGGAGGTGGCAGTCTTGGAAGGAAACAGGTCTCCTCAGCAATCCCTGCACAGCCAGCGGGCCGGCCCACGGAGTCCTAGCTTCGGGGTGCCGGCAGCTTCCACCCAACCTGGCTGGCCAGGGCGTGCAACCCCACGGGTAGCCTCCTCAGGGTCTGCCCTGCCTCCGTCGCGGCTGTGTCAGATGCAGGCCTCTCCCGACCCTCCACCCATCTGTGGGGTTCTGGCCACTGGGTGATCGCGGTGGAGGGACCTCTATCAGAGGTGGCACCCTGGGAGCCCGCAGGCCCTGAGGAGGCAGTGTGTGGGGTGCCCCCTGGTGGCTGTTAGGTGCTGTGGTTGGAGTCTGGGCTGGACCAAAGGAGGAAGACGTGGAGGTGGTGGGGTGTCAGTGACTCCAGCCCCCCAGTTTGGCCTTTAGCACCCTCTTCACCAGCAAGGACACCAACGGTCCTTAGCCCCGTGCTGTGATGCGGCCCGTGTAACCAGCTGCCTCTCCCCACTCCCTCCCCCCCAGTGCAGGACTCTGCCTCCCAGCCGGGGTCCCGTGATCTGTGCAGACAGGCCAGCCGTCCAGTGCCACACACAAGGGGAAGGGCTGCGGGGCCAGCGGCAGAGGCCAAGTGTGTCCTGGCACTGATGGAGTGGAATCTCAGCACTGAGCCTTTAGGGGATGGGGCAGGGGAGGGACCCCGTGCCCCTCCCGTGCTACCTCTGGTCACCTACCAGGCTGCCACGTTCTGCTTGCTGGGCTGCCTCGTGGGGCGCTGCGTCTAAGTCTGGATCTGAGCACCCGTGGTCAGGCCCCCTTTGGCCTTAGGCCCCTGCTGTGATTGGAAGCTGGGGTGGGGCTTCCAGGGACACCCAAGGGCCCAGTGTCAGTCTGTGTGCCGTCTCTGGCCGCCGGCTGGGTGGTGGGACAGGACGGCCCGGGAGTGCCTTCCCCCACACCTATCTGTGGCCACTGCAGCTTCCGGCCCTGTGGTCCTTCCTCTAGCTCACAATCTGGCTCTGCCACTTACTGGCCTCCTTGAGCCTCAGTTTCCCCATCAAGATGGGACTCCTACCCTAGGTGGACAGACGTGATGCCTTATGTCCAGTCTGGAAGATGACCACTGAGTGCAGGGCTGGTCTTCGGGGCTAGAGGCTGTGGGGCCTCCTTGAAGGTCAGCTGTCCGCAGGAGAGGGCCATCTCTGCGCTCCGTCCAGGCAGGCAGGAGCGGCCCCCCACGCTCCTCTCCTCCCCAGGGTTTCGTCCTGGGTGGGGGAGCCCAAGCTCCAAACCGTCGGCCAGAAAGGGGATATGGGAGCTGCTGTGAGACTCACCCCAGCCACGACTCCCAGGGGACTGGGCCCCCAGGTCCTCACTGCCCCGCGTGTGAGCAGGGGCCGCCTCCTCCAGCCACCCCACCCTCTGCTGGGCTAGGCCACAGCACAGGAACACAGGGACCAGCAGGACCATGGCGGGAGGAGCAGCAGCGGCCCCCGCCCCCCCCCCCCCAGGGCTGATGGAAAGCCATGTCTGCCTTCCAGCCGTTGTAAGAGTGGCGCCGGTCCATGTCAGCGCCCACACCTTCATGTCTGGGGGGTGGGGAAGGAGGAGAAAGTCGTCAGCATCCACAGAAGACATGAGAGCCTCTGCAATCCTTAAATAGATTTATGGAAATGGTCTCCAGTTACAGCATTTAGAAAATAAAAATAATCTCAATACATAAGATTCCCTCTGTTACATACTCTCCCCCCCAGAAGCCATTTTTGTGCATGTGTATGCCACTGCTGAGCGACAGCGGGTTTTTGTCTATAAAAGAAGCAGTAGGTGTGTCATCTCTAAAAACAAAACTGCAATCGTCATTGCAATGTGAAGCCTGAGATTGAAGCCTGAGGAGACGGCGCGCAGGGGCCATTTGGCTGTCTCAGCCTGAGTCCCAGCGGCTCTGGGTCTGAGGGGCGGGCCCAGGGCCCAGGGGGAGGAGGGTAGTGCTGGCCAGGGGCGGTCTCCATGGTCCTGTGCCGCCCAGGGCCGGGGCCCAAGAACCTGAAAACCTTCCACCCACGGGGCCTGGGCCCAGCCGGCGCCTGCTGTCCGCCTGCACTGGGCTGCGTGTGCCTAGGCTGGGGCATGTCTGCGTGCCTCAGGGCCACTGGGCTGGCATTCCACTGTTCCCTCGCGGAAGAAATGAGATATGTGTCCTGGAGCGGGGTCCTAAGGCAGGCAGCGGGGACGAGGAAGGAGGTGGGGAGCAAGCACAGGAGCCCCTGGCTCCTGCTTCCAATCGCCAGACACAGAGAGCAGCCACGCCTGCGTCCCTGCGGCTGGAGCGGCCTCTGGGATGGGTGGAGGAGCCCCCCCCCTCCAGCAGGTGTCCTGCCCCAGAGGCAGCCCCCAGGCACCCCCCATCCATCACGGGGAAAGAAGACCTGTCAGGCCCCTGCAGCACTCCTGGCCACCAGGCTGGGGACCGAGGCTGGGGACAATGGCAACCTGAGCAGGGCTACAGCAATGGCAACAGCTCGCTGGGGCACGGCGGACACCTCCGGCGGCCCATGCGTGCATGTGTGCGTGCGGGCTCGGGCAGCAGGGCCGGGAGGAGCCCAGCCTTCCCGGAGTCCCCGGCCCCAGAGCAGCTGGGGTCCCGTGTGGTGTCACATGCCCGCCTTGTCGCTGTAGAAGGGGGTGACGTGGAACACGTAGCAGTGTGTGCACACGCGGACCGGCTTCACCTGCCCATAGCGTGGCAGCGGTGCTGAGTGCGGCGAGCAGCGGGAGCAGAAGATCTGGAAGGCAGAGGGACATTGGCGCCGAGCAGGGGGGTTCCCGCTCGCCCTTGGGTCCTCCCTCCAGCCAAGCCGAGCTGTGGCAGAAGGGATCTGCCTGGCCCAGGCCCTGGGGGCTGTGGAGCTGGGACCTGCAGGCACCCCTGGGCAGGAGGCCGGGCTCCAGGCCTGTGTCACCACTGCCGATGCTTCCCGCTCAGGCTCTGGCCCCGTCCCGTGTCTGGCTCTGAGGCACTGGACATGGCATCGTCCAGGTGTGGGCTGATTGCCTGGCCAGGACTGAGAGGGGGACATGTGCCTGAGGAGCCAGAAGGGCTGCTCGCCTCCCACAACCACAGTCCTGACTGCAGCCCAGAGCGTGGTCTGGGGGAGATGCTGGGCGAGCACACCACCCGAACTTGGTCTGGGGGGTCGCCGGGCGAGCACACCACCCGAGCTTGGTCTGGGGGGTCGCCGGGCGAGCACACCACCCGAGCTTGGTCTGGGGGGTCACCGGGCGAGCACACCACCCGAGCTTGGTCTGGGGGCGGGCACACCACCTGAGCTTGGTCTGGGGGGTCACCGGGCGAGCACACCACCCGAGCTTGGTCTGGGGGCGGGCACACCACCTGAACTTGGTCTGGGGGGGCGCGGGGTGAGCACAGCACCGGAGCTTGGTCTGGGGGCGAGCACAGCACCTGAGCTTGGTCTGGGGGCGGGCACAGCACCCGAGCTTGGTCTGGGGGGGCACGGGGTGAGCACACCACCTGAGCTTAGTCTGGGGGCGGGCACACCACCAGAGCTTGGTCTGGGGGCGGGCACACCACCGGAGCTTGGTCTGGGGGCGGGCACAGCACCCGAGCTTGGTCTGGGGGCGGGCACACCCACCTTCCCGCAGCTCCGGCAGTGGTGCTTCCTGCGGATGACTGTGAAGGGCGCTTTGCAAGCCGTGCAGAAGCCACAGGCCTCGTCTGGCACCCACTCAGGGGGATCTGTCACAAGAGCCAGGAGCCATGAACCAGTGGGCAGGGATCCTGACCCCCCCCACATCTTCCCCTTCCCCCCTCTTCCCCCCCCCCCCGTCCTGTCCCGTCCTGGACTTCAGGGCCGGCTGTGATTTCAGTGTCTGGCTGTGATTTGAGGAACAGACTGCAGCCCAGGGGTTCTTCTCAGCCATCACCTAGGCAACCACGCCCCAGCTGCAGGCCAGGCCTGGCCACCTGGACTTGGGGTGTGCAGCAGGGCCCCTCTGTCCACCCAGATGACCGAGGCCTTCACTCCCAGGTTTCCTCTGCTGACTCCGGTCACCTGGTGCCGCCAGTCTTCTGTCATGCATCTTGGAAGGAACCCGGACCTCAGGACCAAGAGGCCCCTTTACCAGACTGGCAGTGCCATGTGGGGGTCTCTCCTACAAAGGTGCCGGGGTACCCCCAAACAGACCCTGACTTCCTGCCAAATCAGCCATCTGGTCTCCCAGCCAACTCCAGGCTGATAACAGAGAGGGTCCCCCCGATCTCACAACACTAAACTGGGCAGTCTGCAGCCCCGCTGACCACAAGAAAGGCTCTGGGACTCTGGAGTTCCCAGGGGAAAGGCTCTGAGGCCCCCAGAGCCCCCTGTGAGGCAAGTCCCCAGTTAGTGTGCAGAGTGTCCTCCACCGGCCGCGCAGGGCCGCTCTGTGGTGCCTGTGAGCTGTGCGTGTCAGGGGCAGCCAGCCCCTCACCCGACACCTCCTCGACTCCCCACATCATCTGGTTTGTGCCCACTGGGATGACAGATCTGTGTTCACCTGGCAACAAGGGGCTGCGCGCCGAGCCGAGGCGGGGTGGGGGGCGGAGGTGGCCTCCCCTGGAAGCTGCACCCCACGTGGCGGGAGCCGAAAGCATCCACAGCAGCTGGGCCGGCCCGGCCCACGCTCCCCACTCACCTTCCAAGTCCCCGGCCCGGGTCTTGGCGGCGAGCTCGGAGGAGGAGAGGGGCTCCTGGCACAGTGCGCAGTCCTCCAGGGCTGCCCTCCGCAGGCTCTGGGACACTGAAGGAGAGGAGCCGCTGGAGCTGGGTGCCCTCGGCGGCCCCTGGTGGCCACCGTGGTGCTCCCAAAAGGCCACGGGCCCCTCAGCACACGGAGTGCGAGGGATGACCCAAAGAGCGCCTTCTGGTGACCTTCTTCATGCTGGGGGAGGAGGCTGAGGTACACGGTGCATGCATGGATTCTCCCCCACGCATGGTTTGTGTGCCCCCCATGATGCATGCAGCTCCCCCCATGAGCACATCCTGCCTGGAGCACTCCTCCCCCAGAGCGTCCTGCCTGGAGCACTCCTCCCCCAGAGCGTCCTGCCTGGAGCACTCCTCCCCCAGAGCGTCCTGCCTGGAGCACTCCTCCCCTGGGAGCATCCTGCCTGGAGCACTCCTCCCCCAGAGCGTCCTGCCTGGAGCACTCCTCCCCTGGGAGCGTCCTGCCTGGAGCACTCCTCCTCTGGGAGCATCCGGCCTGGCAGCTCACAGTCCTGATTGACAGCGAGTACCCATTTTGGATGTTCCTGATCTATGACTTCCAGGTGGCAAAGCTGGTCAGGACAGAGGCTCCTCGGGACCGTCCTGCTGGGCTGGGCTGGGCTTCTAGAAATGATGCACTATGCCAGGTACCCAGACACCCCTCAGCAGAAGCCCTGAGCTGTGTCTCAACTCAGCAAGGAGCAGGGAGCAGGGGTCCGAACACCTCCTCCCTGCACCTGACCGGCCCGCATCAGACACCTTCTTCCTTGCCAGACACCCACGGTGCACACGCGGCCTGCTGGAGCGTGGAGGTGTGCCCTGTGTGACAGTGTGATGCGTGTGCCAGGCCACACAGAGCCGCCCGCAGCCCGCGGGGACACTGCCCCTGCTCATGGGAGGCAGGCCCACACCCCTCGTTCTGACTGGCCTGTGAAGGACTGACAGATGGCCGGAGGTGGCACGGTGGCACATCTGGTCTAGTTTTTAAGAGGGAGGGCGGGTCTCCTCTGCGTCTGTCTGTGGTAAGACCTCCAGACCCCGCTGGGGACCGGCAGCATGGCAGGGGAGGCCACCTCCATGGGTGGTGCCTGGTTGTCCACTGGCACGTTTGGTCATGCCAGTGCGGTGGTGAGCGGTTGGCTCGCTCAGGCACTGCCCGTTCCCCTGGCTGGGCGGTGTGAGTGCTCAGTGTCCCTTCTTGGGCGGCCACTCACCCTTCTTTAGCTTGTCCTTGTCATCTGCCTCTGGCTTGGTGGCCATGACCTCAAACAGCGTTTTGAGAATACTTCTCAGGTCACTGGCATAGTTCGTCTGCAGCTGGTCAGCCACACCTGAGGGGCAGGACAGAAGGAAGGACAGGGAAGGCTGACCTCAGTGGAGGCCAGCGCCACGGGCTAGGTGGGGGCGGTACGGAGGGGGAGAGTGCTTCCCGCAAGGCCGCACCACACCACAGCTCCCAGCCGTGCCGACTGCTGGGCCAGGGACCCGTGAGAGCCGCCCCCAGCGGGGCCCCGGGAAGGCCCATCACAGAGGCAGGGCGTCCAGACATGCCCAGGGCCACAGTGTGGACCACACGTGCGGGGCCCCAGGGGCGCCCCAAGCTGCTCCGCTCCCCACACAGGCCTCCCTCGTCCTTTCTGGTGGGCAGGGCTGGCCTTCCTCAAGAGGGGTGGAGGGATGGCTCTGCCCACAGCCCCACGGCGGGGCCCTGATGTCCACGCTGCCCACCGCACGCACGGCCAGGGAGGCCGGCCCCACGGCTCCCAGGCCCCCACCCGGCCCAACGCACACCTGAAATGCAGACAAACAGGCGGTGGATGAGGTCCTGGCTGCCGTGGAACCTGGACCGGATCTTCTCTCTGGAGGCGGCGGGGGTCACAGGCATGGCAGCCTGGCTGCCCTCCAGCCCCGTCTTGTCTGAGGAGCAGGAGCTGGGGGTGGAGCTGCTGCAGAGAAGGAGAGGCAGGGTGGGTGGGGGCAGTGCCGGGGGCTGAGGGAGCCCAGGGGCCAGCCGGGCGGAGGGACAGACAGACGGATGAGGCAACAGCCTCCCCACTACCGTCCTCCTCGAGAGGGTGTGCATATGGCATCCGTGTGATCCAAGTGAGCCCCTGGAGAACCAGGCAGCCGGGCAGGCCGGCGCCCGGCCTCATCCGGACCGCGATGGCTACGCCCTGGGAGTAAGCCCTTCCGGACCCTTCCGGTGAGTCTCCTGAGCTCAAGCCACTCCCCCTTGTGTCCTTGTCCAGTGCTGTCTCTTGGCTGCCACACCCTCTGTGGAGGGCTCGACGTGGCCCAGAACCTCTGAGTACACCTGCGCCGAGTACACCGTGACTAAGCAAAGGGCAAAACCACTCTGCAGTCCTCAACCCAACCACCGGTGTCCTTCGAAGACACAGAACTAGAGATGGGGCACTATCCCTGAGCTTTTGTGCTTAAGGCTAGTGCTTTACCATTTTGAGCCACAGTGTCATTCCAGCTTTTGGGTAGTTAATTGGAGATAAGAGTCTCATGTCTCAACAGATGCTGGCAGGGAGGTGGCCAAAAGGGAACACTATGACACTGCTGGTGGAAATATAAACCACTCTGGAAAGCAATATGGAGATTCCTCAAAAGACTAACATGGAGCTCCCCTATGATCCAGCAATCCCACTCCTGGGCATTTTCCCAAACCATCACAAGCAACACCACACTGAAGCTACCAACACAACTATGTTCACTGAAGGCGAACATCATCTAAGATCTGGAACCAACCCAGATGCCCCTCAGTAGATTAATAGATCAAGAAAATGTGGTAGATATACACAATGGAATTCTGTGTTTCCCTCAGAATGACATCATGCATTTGTAAGGAAATGGAAAGACTTGAAAAAAAATTAAGTGAAGTAAGCCAGACCTAAAGACACATAGGCTCCATGGTTTTCCTCATTTGTAGTAATTAGCATATGTCTAGAATAGTCCTAGCCGAGGATCACAATAGCTCAATAGCTATGTACATATGAGCATATAAAATGATTCTAATCAAAATGAACTCTAAAATATGGAAATGAGTTCACTTTTTGTCGGTCGTGGGGCTTGAACTCTGGGCCTGGGCGCTGTCCCTCAGCTCTTCAGCTCAAGGTGAGCGCTCTACCACTGGAGCCACAGCACCACTTCTGGCTTTTTCTGCTTATGTGGTGCTAAGGAATCAAACCCAAGGGCTCTTGCATGCAAGGCAAGCGCTCTAACACTGAGCCACCTTCCCAGCCCTTTATTTTCTATTCTAACTGCTGTTTTGTGTAAGCAATTTTTTGTCCATCTAGAAATGTTCATTACAATTCTTTTTTTTTTTTTTTTTAAATTTACTTTTTTTTTTATTGTAAAGATACTATACAGAGGGTTACAGTTACATGAGTGAGGTAATGAGTACACTTCCTCTTGAACATTGTTAGCC